TGAAGGGTATCATGTATATATGGGAGGAGTTCACGGTCATGATGGGTGTACGGCCGTACACCCATGTGTACGGCCGTACACTCCTCTTCAAGGAGTGTTTGGTCCGAATGCAACACTTATGACCTAGATAACTCATCCCTAAGCCCTAACCTTGATTGTACTAGGCTTATAACATTTAAAAGACCCTAAATAATGCTAAAAGATAGCAGAAACGATTCTGACTTTGATTGAATTGAATGTTGTAGAAGACAAAAATTTCGGGTTGTCACATCATCCCCCCGTTAGAGGAAATTTCGTCCCGAAATTAGTGTTTAAGCAATATTCACGGATGAGGTGGAAGGTACGGATACTTGTGTTCTATTTGATTCATCCGATATCTAGGGGAACCAAGCCCTCACTATACGCGTTAGAAGATTTTCGCCACGAGGTACGGTTTCGTTTTCGTTCGCTGGACTCCACTGACTAGGGTTTCCAAGGGTTTCCTCCATTGAATTGGACTTCTACAGATTTCTTTACCAAGACGAGGCTTTCGCTTACATCGATCTAATCGAGTGGAATAATAAGAGTCCGGACGGACAACCGCCTTTTGAAATCTTTATAGACATGGAAGGATAGGGTGAAATGTATTGAATTCCCTTAATAGTCGGGACCTGTAAGATGCCAGACCAATTCTATCAAGAGTCTTAGATGGCCCTAAGCACCTTGGATTTAGCATTCCATGCATCTGAAACACATGATGCCCTTCTAGGGTGAAATCCCCATTTGACGTGATCATCATCCTGGATTTCCAAAGGTCTATCTCTTATGGAACGCGTAGCTTTCCAGGTTGGTTCTAGAAATTCTGGGTCGTTTTTGGATTCGTACATTCTGCTTGGCAGTTTCCTCGAATGGTTTATGGATTGGCGAATAAGTTGTCTGACAGTTGGCATCGAACAAGTTGCGTGACACCTACCTTAGTCCAGTGCAGAGAGGATCTACAATTTCAACTAATGAGGGTTTTTGAACGGAGCAACTCCAAATGCCAGTATGGTAAAGGACTTGACTAGTTGGCAATTGGGTATCCCAAGCTTTACCAAGGTCAGTCAAATGCATTCTCAGCATAATCCCTAATGGTTGAATCATCCTATTATTCCGTCTGTCGTTTCATGGATGGTAGGCTATGCTAATGACTAGCCTAGCCCTCAGAGATTTTCTGAAGTGACTGCCAAATTCGGGAGGTGATTCTATTATCTCTTATAGAGATAGCATACATTTGAACACCGAGCAGTCTAACTAATCTCTCGAACACGCGTTCCATTAGCTTCTCCATTGTGTCCGTTTTCTTCAGTTTGCAAGGAGCGTGTAGATTTAATCCGTCGACAGTCACTCAAATGATATCGTGTTCGCCTGTTGCCTTGGGAAGCTTGACAATAAAGCCCAATGCAATCTGCGGCCTCTTCTACTTAAGTACCCCCGACCGTGGTGGTAATCCTATGGCTTTCAGTATTCTAACTTTAACTTTGGTGTGCGCAAGACACTTGCCTACAAGGCAACAATACCTTTCCTCGCATGACGAGCTACTAATCTAACTTCTTGAGGTCTAGACGCCTCTCGTCTGGATCTGGATGAACGGAGTGTTTGAGTATTGCAAGATTCCTTCATGACTACCTCTCGGACGTCACCGAACTTCGGTGACTAGATCAAATCTATGTGGTATAAGACTCCGTCAACCTGACCTCTAAGTACTCATCCATCCCTCTCCAGATTTCTCCTGACACATTTCTAGGTTTCTAGGCTCCTTGGTGAGCCATTAATTCGTGTGAACAGATGTAAATGGGTGGTCGCAGTATACGATTTGACTCTACGATCTGAGTTACTCTTTCTGACTAAGGGTCCCAGCTACTACATTGGCTCAACCGGGATGATAACGAATTTCGACTTCGTAGTCATTTAGTAGTTCAACTCACAGTCGTTTTCTCATGTTCGAGCTTCTTCCCAACGGATATGACGAAGGTTTTTGCGTTATGGTTCATGATAAACTCATACCGGGCTCATTCATCACTACTTCGTGTATACAAGTTGTATATAATTGAGAATGACAAGATGTTCAGATGGATGGCTCCACCCCAAGTCCACAACCAAACAAGGAACAGGAAATAGGGCGGGATCATGCATCTTAAATCTTATCGATCTAAATTATATACCACTCTTATGTATACACTTGGCAATAATAAGTTAATCCCATGAGTTTTTATTCTCTTATCACGAACTTAACCATGCTGTACGAGGGTCTTTTTAGGGGATCTATTGGGTATGCCTCGGGTGTTTACTGTCTTCTAGGATATCTTCAGCGTTCTTTTTTCTACTTCAAGTCTATTGACTGCTGGATAGGCTAACAAGGCGTGGTACCCCCTCTTGGGTACTTCTAAAGTTTAGATGCGAGGGACGACATGATGGTTCGCATTAGATTTTTCCATTTAGATTTGAAATAATTATATTTGACGATTTACTAGGATGAAAGTTATTTTTACACAACACCGTGAATTTTTGCATGGTAAGGACCAAGCCGGACCATGACTGTCGATGATGTCGTAAATCTCTTGACGTAATAGATATGAAATCGATACGCAAGAAATGATTATCAGGACGATGTGTTATATCAAGCATATATGGTTTTAGCACTTCCGGTTTCGTTCATGGTATCACTACCGCGAACTTTTGAACCGGAAATAACGGGCGCTAACAGTTTGAGGGTCCTGACGATTTGAAATAATGTACTTTTCATGGAGTGATTCTCACAAGGAATTTCTATAACCGCGTAGTATATACTAGTCATGTATAATTAAGATTGGAAAGACTGTTGACTGAGTGACTCCGCCCTAAATCCACAACCAAACAAGGAACAGGAAATGAGGCCGCATCACTCACTCGAGGTCTACAAATCTTAATTATAAATGGCCCTAACGTATACACTAAGCCATCGTAGCTATACCTGATGGGGTTTTGAGTTTTATAACCGTGCTGCGATTTTTGTTTTAACGAGGGAGTAATTATAATTATAATTGGTCATAAAAATTTTTAATTAATTACTAAGGTTGAGAAGCGTACCAAAATTCTACCGGGCTCCTTGATGCTTCTTTATGTTTCAGGGTTAAACTCCTCTTGCACCCTCGTCACCTCTTTCTGTTGGACAATCTCTCTTGAAATGTCCTATTCCACCACAAAGATGGCATATTGGATTGACCCCAACATTGGTGGTTGATGTGATGAACTCGACCGAGGTCCTACAGATGTGGGCGGTATGCCCCTTCATGCTGAATCTGAGACAATATAATTATCGGCAGATTCCATAATTATGGTAGTTACACTTGGTGTAGTGGGGGAGGTTTCCTAAGTATGGTGTCGTCGGTGTCGGAACTGGAGGGCTGATACGGGTATTGACTGCCCCAGCCTGCTACCCTTCGGAAGGTCCTTGAGTTGAAGTACTCCCTTTTTCGTTCTCAAACTTTCTTTTCAGGATAATTGGTTTGAGTTCTGGAGTGTCTTTACACACTGGTGTTGGTTGTTGCACCTGGCTAACACAACGATCGGGAATACCTATAGTGTTTCCACTAACATTTGTGTTGTTAGCATTTAGATGAGTCATGATAGCTGCTGTAACTGCAACTTGAAACGTAGCTGCATCAATCTGAAGGATTGGTGTCTTGCCGGTGGGTTGATTACGTTTCTTCGGAGGCATGATTTTGCTATATGATGAGGAAACAAGCTTGTGAGCGACGATGGTTGATTCTAGATGTATTTAAATAAATTGATTACACAAATACATTTTCCGCATTTTGATTTATGGTTCTTTAAGTTTCGACCCACATCCCTATGATGCAGTCCTAGTAAAAAGGGTGGAAGTAAGTTTATTGAAAATGTCATAAATCGGGTGTCGCTCGGACTAAGTTATCTTTAGACTGGGGAATATCACTCTCCGACTTCGAAAAGATTCGAAAGAAATTCAGAACGGAGACTACATAAGAAAGACTTATGAATTATTAGGAATAATCACTCTCAAATTGAGGTCTCGTGATCCGATTTTATGATATTAGCCATGACTGAAAAAGGCGATAAGCCTAACACATAATGTGAGCGGTGCAATCACCAACTTACACTACTAGAAAACAGCCCTTTAATGACGTGCAAACAATGACACTCACTGATAGAGGACGCGCATTTGTTCGTGCCCTAAAAAATAATGTTAGTTTTGCAAAATTTGAAGGATAGAGGACACGCATTTGTGCGTGCCCTAAAATTAGTGTCAAACAAAACAAAATTAAAAACACGGAGGGCGCTTATTTTAAGTGTGTGTCCTCTACAAACGTCGCTTTATATTTTTTTAACTAAACGCTCGTTTTTAAAGAGGGATCTAAAATTCTAAAATTTTGAATACCCCGCTTCTCACTCTTTCCTCAGGATCGCCTTTTCTCTCGTAAAATCGCACAGAGCCATTCTCTCTCTCCCGCCCCTCTCTCTCTCTAACCCAAGACACAACCATCGGGCATTCACGACGATGTCTTCTCCGCTATCTTCTTCTTGCTCCATATAATAAAATCGGCGACCAAACAATCAGGCTCACTTCTTATTTTGCTTCTCCGTCTCCCACAAAAACCCTAGTTTCTATCACCACTTCTTGAATTAGTGAATTAGGGGTTAGGGTTTGGAGTGATTTGGGGAGAAGATGGGATTGGGTAGTCTTGGAGTTGTGCGCCGGCGGGGAGCTATCAAAAATAAATATCACCCTTTTCAATGATCAATAAAGCTATTCCTGTTTCTCTCTCACACTTCCGTTCCCTTCCCACTTCTCCAGTTTCTGTTCTTCATCCTTAACCCAAAAACAGGGTAGGAACAAGAATTTCCAAACAAAACCCACATACTCTTCCATCTAATTTGATCTTTTTTATGGGTATTTTATTTTCCTTTTTCTTTTGATTTTGGGATAATGGATTTCGATTACATTGAATGCGTTTCAACATCGGATGAATGAAATGAGGACGAGATCCCATACCACCATCATCGTCATTAACATCAACATCAACATTGTCAAAACAGCCATCAAAATCCCCAGGTTTTATCATCAAAACTCACTATGTTAATGTCGTTCCTTCCAAAATTAATCCCACCCCCAGTGTTTACAAGCTTCTCGAACGCCCTGTTTGTACCAATTCAATGTACCCTCCAATACATCAGGTTTTCTTCATTTTTCTTATTTGATTATGCTCTTAAATGTTAAAATTCATATTATAATCATTTCAAGATTGATGTGAATTTAGGGGTTTCAGATTGTGATACATCGTTTTTTACTTCGATTAACAAAAAGATGATGTTGACTTTTCATGGTCAAGCATATCAATTTTTTAAGTCTCGAGATTTATGTATATTTCAAGTTCTTGTACATACAAGTTGTTACCCTTTACCCTATTTTAAATGTTTTATGTTCTGCCTTTTGTTTTCATGGTCAAACAGGAAGGATAATTGGTCTCTTAGAAAAAGTGTAAGTGCTTTCTCTGCATTCCTAAATGGGAATGCTTCAGGGATATTGGGTCTAATATTTGTTGATGAAATGTCTATTTTAGTTGAGGTGATTTCCTTCTTCTTCTTCTTCTTCTTCTTCTTCTTCTTCTTCTTCTTCACTGATACCTTAATTTTTCCTGTAACACCTACAATTCCTTCATTTTTAAGATTGCTAGATTGCATACTTTACCCTATTCCCTGCATTTAAACTAACTCACTCTTGTTATTTTCCATGTTTGCTTATAACAACTTTGATTATTTTCTCTGAATTGAATAGAAATTTTTGTTCTGTGATGAATTATGATGACTCACTTGATGTTTTTTGTGTGACAGGTGGTTAATAGTTTGATCTTTGCTCTATCAAACACATTGAACACAAGCAACACATCTACTTCTAGAAATTCTAATTATTTTGATACTCAAGAGATGTTGCATGTTAACATGTTTGATTGGTAGAAATTGGAATGAATTCAATGCACTTAACATGTTTGATGAAATGCCTCTATGGAACATGAACAATTTTTTTAGATATATGTTGATAAATGTAAGGGAGACACAATACATAGACCAGTTGCTGGTAAGTTAAAACAAATCTCAGTTCATCCCCTTAATTTCCTTGCTGCTGCTGGTAAGTTAAAACAAATCTCATTTCATATTCCTTCACTCTTATCGATTACTTGCTAGTTGCTACATAAATTCGATCAGTAGTGAAATTCATTTGTTTTGATGATCAAAGAGAGGAGTAAGTTATGGAGTGAAGTTGTCATACGAAGTGGTATGCATTCATCTTTTTTTCTTCTTCTATTAGCACATGAATTTGTCTTTTGAAAAATTTGTTTCTATAGTTAACTCTTTTGATGTCTTCTCATTGCATGATCACATCTAATTGTTACTTGCAGATTTTGATGATTTGGAGACCACAGTTGAAGAATCGAGTGTTCTTAATTACACCAAGGCAGGTACTCATTTTCTTTCTTTTCTCTAACTTTTCTAAAGGCATTGTCTTATTATCATTATCATATCAAACAATATCTTTTCTAAGATTAATGATTATGATATTGCTCATCACTTTTCAAAGTACAAACATTCATTATGTTATCACTTATGAAATAAAAAAGCATGACTTTTGTTTCATTATTTCAGGGAACATTGCCAATTATCTACAGATTTTAGAAGTTGAACATATGTATCTTCTAGTTCCTGTGAATTTCATCTTTATAGGATTTGAATGGAGTGGCAATCAAGGTATATAACATAACATTTGATTTTAGTGACTTAATTCTTGGAGTTTGAACTAATTTAGTGTGCACATGGGTACTTTTTTATGACATTGATACAGTCTTTAAGCTACACACATATGAACTTGAGAGATGGTTTAAAAAAATTGATCATATATTTGAACACACTAGGATTCCACAAGATGTAGATGTTCTTGCTCCATTCTACAAAAACAGGGTAGATAGAGATCATCATCATCATCATCTTCCTCTTCTCAGTCACCTAAATTACAAGTAATCTCTCTTACTCATTTTCCCTTTATTTTCTGTTTATTGTTTTTTGTTATTTACTAAGAATATATATTCTCATATACTCCTGCAGCTTCTCTGTTCATGCTATCCAAATGGGCGAAAAAGTCAATTCCATTTTTGATCATGCTATTGCTGTCCTCTCTCGTAAGGATGATGTTAATCATACCAGGTAGATTACAGAGGACATCCCTCAACCTTGGAAACATTACACATTATCCCCTGTAGTTCTGAATTGTTCTTATGGGGTTATGTATCGACATTTTAAACGAATGTAACAAAAATTGCTTATTTTTTGATTCAAATTTGGTGAAATTGAAGATAAAAATTGAGCTTAACTCTTAACATAATGATGATAATACTATTGCTAATCATTTGGCTGCATCTTGTATGGAAATGCTTTTAGTTGATATTTTTTTTATAAAATTTTGCAGGAGAGGCTTGTCAGAAAGTGAAATAATTTTTCTTAAACAGGTACTTTCCTTTACCTTGTAGCTTTAAAATGTATATCTTTTCTTGACATTTGTCATATGGTCTCATTTACCTTTTATAATACTTAATATTTTGTTGGATAAACAATTACACATGCACAGTGCACACACTACATTGCTTCTTAATTCGTATATTTACAGTTTTGAAATGTTCTTATCAGATAATTGGCTAATGACCCTTTATATTCTTCCATACATGATAAGAGTTTACAAGACAAGATTCTTAGGGCAGGAAGTACAACAGATAATACTGGACAATAACAGAAGAAACAGACACGGTTAGTATACCTCAAATAAGTCAAAAAGTCAAACCCACATTTTTCTCTAAAAACCAGTTTACATAATTACATTAGTTATGCTATCTGTTAACATCTTATTCTTTATTATAATAACTTCAGATAGAATGGTATAATAGTTGCCTAAATGATTTGAACAATGTTGAGAGGCAATATCAAGAGAAAGATGTGGCTGATATTATTCAATCAAAAGTTATCCAGGTTTGTCATGTTCTATAATATCAGAAATTACTGAAGAAGAGGCTGAAGATCACTTGCAAGATGCAATTCAGGAAAAGTTTGCTGCATTTGGGGATGTATGTATTCTAACTACTATACAATCTTATCAAATATCATATTCTTCATTTTAGAGAACATTAATCTTTGTTAGTTTTTATTTATTTATTTATCCTGTTATGTGTTGGATTACAGCAGTGAAAGGAGCATTAAAAATAAAAAACGAAAACAAAAAGATAATTCTCTCCTTATTATCATATGCCTAATATATTATGTACTTCAATTTGCATAAAGATCATCAAGAAATAGATATCCTTTTAGCAGAGATCGATATATATGAGCTTTTTGCTTTCAAACATTGTTGGGGAAGAAGGTTGAAACTTGCTCTTTGTGAAGGTAATTTTTTTTCTTAATGTATTATCCTCTATATTCTTGACATTTTCCCACTTTTTAAATCTTTTATCAAATTCTCACTTTTGGATACAGAGCTTGATGAGAGAATGCGTGACCTAAATCTTTTATCAAATTCTCACTTTTGGAGGTGGCCATAAGAAAAGGTAAGCAAAGGGTAATTGGTATTTGTTGTTGTTATTGTGTATTACAATACTTCCTTGTATATATGTATAAAGTTTGTTCTTATTCAGATTTGCCTTTTACCATTGATTTCCTTATTGAAGCATTGTACTTTGAAAATGTTAATTCTTACCTTTTGTCCATGTAGGATCCACCAGGAACAGGAAAAACACAAAAAATTCTTGGGCTTCTTAGTGCCATATTACATACCAACTGAGTATCTAAGTCTCTTAGTAACTTTGTAAGACATTGATTACTTGAGGGTATTTTAGTAACATTGTAAGAGATTGATTACTTGAGGGTACTTATGGTATATAATGTTATATTCTTTTGTTAACATGGTCCTTAGTGCAATGAATTATCTTTATTGTTTATGGTATTTTATTTTGTATTATGAGACTTTTAATGTGTTATTTAATTTGAAAATTAGTAAATCTATCAAAAATATATAATTTTAAAAAAATTTAAAGTTATGACATGCAAAAATGCGTGTCGTCTTCCTTTATGACACAGGCTTCCTTGATACGCTTTGCGTGTCATAAACACGCGCGTCGTAAGGTTACGACTCGCAAATGCGTGTCGTCTTCCTTTTTGACAGGGCCTTTCTTGATACGCATTGCGCGTCATAACTGCGCGTCGTAAATGCACGTCGTAAACAGACGACGCGCAAATGCGCGTCGTCTTCCGTAATGACAGGGCCTTTCTTGACGCGCATTTGCGCGTCGTCTGAGCGTTTTACGATACACATTGCGCGTCGTAAAATGCTGTTTTTCTGGTAGTGTTACTATGTTGTAATTATTTATTAGTTAATTAAGGTGACGCATTAGGAACAGAAACACTTCTCATGTTTCATGCGGGGCCTCCCTCTGTTCTCTGTTCTACTATGGGCAAGCCGTCCTACTTCCGATTCTGGCACTGAATCTCATTACTTCCTGACGGAGAGCTTGAATCTTAGGAGTTCAAGCGAACTTCTCACGATGTTCCTAACAAGGTAAGGACACATGGTGATTTCTATAGTTTCTTGATTGCTCATCGATCTCCTCTTCGGAAATCCTCATAATGACACTCTTCTGGATCTTCGTTGACTTCTCTGCTGATTGCTGAAGTGGCTACAACTATCTAAAGAGGTTTATACGAGAATGGGAATGTCTAAAGAGTGGCTGAAGAGGTAATTATAATATTTTACTGTGTAATCCTCAGCGGGTCCTTCTAGAATTACATAGTGCATACAAATTATATATATGTCAGAACTAATAGACTTTCGAAGATGTGATACTACTCTATATCCAAATATAAAAAAGGAAAAGGAAGTAATGCGAAACCACACATTCTAAGTCTATAAGATCCTCATTATATATAATCTTGGAAGCGTACACTCTGTAATTGTAGATCTACCAGTAAGGGTCTTTTTAGTTTTTATGCAAGATTATCTATGTTACCTAAAATACTCCTATAGTATTTTAAATTATATGTTTGCTTCTAGTATTTCTTGGCACGTTTTTAGGTTTGTTGTCATTATATAGTATCATAAAATACTCGTATAGTATTTTAAACTTTATGTTATGCTCTAGCATTCCTATATGGTTGGTAAGTTTCAGACTTGTTGCAACACCACCTTTACTCCCAAACACAAATTGTAACGCCCATAGATCCGGGCTAGTCAATTAAGAGATAATAGGGGTCGAAAACGACCTTTCTACAAAAGATTATTAAGAATGAACAATCTTAACCAAGTTTTAGAATATGTCACGAGGTTTCTGTACATATAAAAAACGCCGAAATCCGAGTTATAACGAAGAAGTTATGACCCGTCGAAGTTTCGAGACGAAACCGGCACGACACCGGGAAACGTAAATAGTGAATTTACGATAGAGCGATATTCAGCCTTAGCGATCTAAACGAAAGTCGTAGAATACATTAAACCGAGAGCGTCCATAAAAAGAACGCCCAAATCTGACTTCGTATGAGGAAGTTATGATTTTTCGAAGTTTCAGCTTAGCGGTGTACAGCCCGAAATTCGAATATTAGATCGAGCGGTTTTTAGCCGACACAACCTAAACGAGAATCGAGGATCTCGTTATTCGTAGCGTAACGATAAAAAGACAGACGAAAACGGACGTCGGATGAAAAAGTTATGAATTTTTAACGGACTAATAGTGTCCCGGCCTGTTAATAATATAACTTTTAAAATAAAGTCAAAATTAGCCGACGGAGTCTAAACGAAAGTTGTAGAGTACGTTCCCGCCTTCGCGTGGATATAAAGAACGTCAAAAACGGAGCTCGTATGCGAAATATACAAATTTTTAAAGTTTAGAGTCGGATTTGCCAAGCTAAGGCACGGATCGATGACGTGGCAACATCTGGACCATCCATCGCAGATCACGCAACGCTTCGGATAAAGCCACGTAGCCCTTCGCTACGTGCCGCGTCCGAGGTTGGTATGCCCCACGTACCTTCGCTCCTTATCCACTTCCGAGAATGGCTCATGCGCGACAGCTGGATGCGAGCTGGCATCCTTATCCGAGACTACGCCCAGCGTAGCCTCGTCCGAACGCCCAGCGTAACCGAGGCTGGGAAGCTATAAATAGCATGTGAAGTTGCTCGGATTTCTCACACCTTTCTCTCATCTCTCCCTCACTACTTTCTCTGTCTAGGGTTTCTAACCCCCCCCCCCCCCTAAAGTCTAGGTGAACCCCTAGCACCCGAAGGAAGCCCCGAGGCTCCCGGAGTCTAGAGAAAGAAGGGTCTTTCAGTTTCGAAACGCTGCTCCAAGCGAAGCCCAGTTTTCTTTAAAACCCGCTGTAAGTGAGCTACGTCTATGCAATTTTTAATATAGCTTTCAAATAATTATAGTAATGTTATTAGGTCCTTAAAATAATTATTTGGGCTATTATTATGAGTTATATAGAGTGTTGTTTAACGCTTCTATAATAATAATAGCTAGACTATTAATTACTCGCGGTTAACGTTAGACTAAACCCTAGTGGTATTGATACTAGGTTTTATCGAGGGATAATTGTTTTGAGGTAACGAAGCGCTTTTCGAAGGCAGAATCACCAACTTTTCAGGTGAGTGCATAGTTACTTTCAGCTTAGACCTAGATATGAAGTGTTTTATATAAATTACATGTTATGTGTGCATATTATCTGAATACTTGTTGTCTATGCTGGATGAATGATTTTATACATGTTTTAAATGATTTAAACTGTATATTTACTTTATATCTACAAATATGTTGGGATAAAACATGGGTAGATGAAATAGTTGGTGTGTGATGTAATAAAATGATGAGAGATAGGTGATGATAAGAAGCTGATGATAATTAGGTGAGGATAGATAGGTGATGATGAATCGGTAATGTAGGATGAAAGATACTATAACCTTGTCCGTCAATTTGGAGATGTAGTCATCTACCAGAGTATAGATGGCGACCACGAACTATTATAGACAACCCCGTGGAAACACCAACAGACCCATAACCTATAGGTGATGAATTATGAGTTCAGACGATGTTGTAACTTCGTATTCATGCGATGATACTCTAATCCCTTACTATGAATTACGAGTTCAGGCGATGTTGTAACTACGTATTCATGCTATGATACTCTAACCCCTTACTATGAATTACGAGTTCAGGCGATGTTGTAACTACGTATTCATGCGATGATACTCTAACCCCTTACTATGAATTACGAGTTCAGGCGATGTTGTAACTACGTATTCATGCGATGATACCCTAACCGTTGTTGGGCACGTGTTGAGGGAGTAATCCCTGAATCAATACTATCTATGCGATGTACGCGATGATCCTTAGGGAGAGTCCTTAGGAACAAACATATAAGGAAATGCGATGTAAGGAGATGAGACGTAAATATGATGTAGGAGACGACCCTTAGGATAAATCCTTAGGGAAGGTACTTAGGAATAAAGAAGATAATGGGGATGGGTAATTGGGTTAATTCTTTGATGATTAAACATAATAATTATATTATTGTGGGTTGAAAACCCTATGTACTCACCGGGTTTCCCAACCTGACCCACTCAGTTTATTTATATCACAGCTGTTGATATGAAGTCACATTACATTGGGAGATTAAGGAGATATAGATCACTAGTGATAATGAATGTAAGTTCTATTTATGCTTATGTTTATGTATTGACAATGACATCCGAAATGTTTTAAAATGAATAAGAATACTTTTCTTCGGAAATGCTTTGATAACGTATTTATCATGTTTTACTGGGAACAAATTCCGCAACCTTTTGATTAAAAGAGATACTCTGATTTTTATACAGCATAAACAAAATCGGTCTTTTCTGGCCGTGAAAAATGGGGATGTCACAGTTGGTATCAGAACATTAGTTTAAGCGAACTACGAATATGGATTTATTTCTAGACTTAAACTTAGAATGCTAAGCAATGATTGTGAGGAGTGTATCTAATAGATTTAGGTAATACACCTGAATAGACACAAGCACTAGCTTATTTTAGGAATGATGCCTAAATTGCTTTTACGTGCTAAATGATTTGTCATGCTTTATGCTATCGTTTAACCGAATCTATGGTCTGTTGCCGACCGGATCTGGAAATTTTATGTGTACAGATTTCTACACGTTTAATTACGATATTAGAACTGGCATGTAACTTTTCGGCGTAATAAGGAGATTTACACGTCAATCGTAAAAAAATCTTTCCTATCTTAATTCTCGTCATTTCGCACCGAACATCTGATCTGGTGTATAGATCAAAACTGCTAGAACCCAAAGTGGAGTCGGGAACGCGAATGGAGATAGAAATCAACAACCCCCAGCGATTGAACAAATACATGTTGTAGTAACCGCACCTGATCCAATCACAATGGTCGGGGTACAAGCGACGATCCAAATGATGTTGGATCGTCAAATGGAGGAAACAAGGCGTTTACTTCAACAAAATCGAGAGGAACTTACGTTACCTATTGAACAGCCCAAGTTGAATGATGGGCAGTGAGAAGGAGGAAACTACAGTAGGACGGTTGGCCAAGCCAACCCACCGATAGTTAGAAAAAACAACCAGGATGGAGGAAATGACAGACATGGATGCAAGTACAAGTATTTCATGGCATCCAAACCCCCGAGTCTTTCTGGAAACCCATCACCGGTGGAAGTTATGGACTGGATCTCCGAGATGGAGACAATGTTTGAGAGTTGCGAGTGTAGCAACAAACAAAAGACCGC